TAAGACCAAGAGTGCCTACATGCAGCACCCTCTCCTTCATTCATTACCCTAAACAGGAACACTTACGGCCCAGGAAACATCTCAGTGGTTACCACTTCTGCCTTGCAGCGCTGAGGCCCCTGGTTTGAATCCAGGTTGGGCTGTGACACTATCTGCATGAAGTTTGCATGTTCTCCCCATGGTTGTGTGGGTTTCCTCCCACACTCTAAAGACATGCTGGTAGGTGAATTGGCCCTGGTATGTGTGTATATCAGATAGGAACCTTAGCTTGTAAGCTCCTTGAAGGCAGGAACTGGTGTGAAGGAATGTAAAGTTCTATGTAAATTGATGGTGCTCTATTAATACCTGTGGTCATGAAATGGGCGTATTGTGCTTGTATTTCCAACCATACTCTATTGTCCATGCATATCTCCCAACTTTCTGAGATGGGAAAGAGGGCCACCTTCCAGCACAAGAGGGGGAAATGATCAAAAATGGAGCAGTTGCGCTTTGTTACTAATCAGCTTCATTTAGCAATGAAAATGGAAGCTAGAAGCTGATTGGCCGCCATGGTCAACCTCTACAGATTTTGTCTGCTCGCCTACAGTGTATTTAGGCAGTGTATTTAGGCAATAGGCACACCTTTATCAAGCCACCAGTTATGTAAATTATTACAAATGTGTAGGCCAAAAATGGTTGGTTAAACCCAGAATTGGCTTTTCACCATTATTGGTTGCCATGCACAGCTGCTCCAGATTTTGTCTGCTCCAGTTTTGATAAATTCCCCTCAATGCCTGTAGATTGGACCAAAAAGAGGGACAACTGAGGAGGAGAGAGGGACAGAGAGATTTGGTTCCAATTGAAGGACAATTTACGGAGGTATGGTCTATGGCCTGCTTAAAGTAGTATTCAATTCTCAAACTTTTTTTCAAGAATGAGTCCAGATCAAACAAATATACATCGCCCAACAGAGTATTTCTTTACATTTCTTCTAAAGCACAGTCATCGTGTTTCCAAACAGCTCAGCTTCCCTGAACATCCTGTCAAGTACAAGATCCCAAAGGACAGCACAATGTACAGCATCTACTAGCTTGGAGAACAGAGAAGGGAGGACGGAAGAGGGAGGTGGGAAGCAGTGGAGTGGCTTGCCTTGCTGTGTCTGTGCGTTTGTGGAGACACAGCATACTAGCACACACAGAAGGGTGGCTGCATAGGACCCTGCAAGGCAAAGGAACCACCCTAAATCAGGATATCAGGACCAGTGCTCAGGGCACCAGCTGATTCTGCAGGAAGCTAAAACTTTAAAACATCAAGGAGTAGCATCCATTGTAAGCGATTTAAACACTTTTGAAATAGATTAAAAACCTTTTGACTTTAATATAATTTTAAACCATCAATTACATTGATACAATTCCTCAGCAATGGTCAGAGATCGGTGAATATCTCCTGTTTTTATCTGCAGTCGGGTAGTTTTTGGATGAAGGACTCCAGAAGGCTGTTGTTGTTAAGTTTGTTGATCGGCAGTCTTCATCAACTCTTCTGAAAGACTGGCCCATGTGTAGTCAGACCGGAGCTTATGATGTGGCACATGTGTTCTCCTACTCAATGCTGATCTAACAGAGATACAACACATTGGTAAATCTTTGTGCATGATAAGGTGCACTTCCTACTGCAATGAAGTGAATAATAGAAATGTTGACCGCTACATGGGGCCATTTGCTAAATGTGACGCAAAATCGGTTCTATCAATCAATAGTATCTGTAAAAAAATAAGTCAAGGCAACTGGACTTGCTGTATTTTTCTTGAAGACGTTTCACTGGTCATCCATCCAGCTTCTACATTCAGAATTTCCTGAATTGAGAAAGCTGGTTGGATGTCCAGTGAAACGTCTTCAAGAAAAATACAGCAAGTCCAGTTGCCTTGACTTATTTTTTTTACAGATATACCATGACCTGGATGAATCAGAACCTTCACAGACATATCTATCACTAGTGAAAATAATGTTGTGTACGGCCTTCACATTACAGATTTGAATGTTTTTTTATGTGCACACATGCGTGGCCACTTCACCTTTTCCTCTGTGAACACATTTAGCAGCGCATGGTGTGAATTTGGACAGATAAGCTGTGATAAGAAAACACTTATCTTTTCTTTTTTTTACTCCTGGGTGAGAAGGTGACAGGGATAGATGCTGTGTGTCTAATCTACAAACACACAACCACCCAGATTCTTAAAATGTGTTCAGGATGAAAAAAATATATATCTATCCTCGATTCTCAGAACTTTTTCTCCCTATTTTAAATCAAAAATGTCCTTCTATCTGTCAATCGCTGCCAAAGCACGGCGGGGTGTAATTGACGTGTTTATTCATTAGTCACTTTATCACAGGCAGAATGAGTGTAATAAAGTACTCAAGTGTAAAAATAAGTGTTGCACCCTACAGTGGCCACAATTTGACTTTGCATGTGACTGGGACACTTCACACCAGCATGGGAACTCTGTGTGTTTGTAAAGCCTTTAACAAGGTGGTGACAAAAACCCTAATTTAATTACTGCGCTTCTAGTGAAATATGCAGGAGTGGGATCTTTTTCCCAACAAATGATAGAAACACAGGTTTTTCCATCATTTGCGTGCGTCGTACATTTTAGGGTTGCCGTTTCTATTTGTTTGATCTTTGAACAGATGTAAATGTCTGGGATGGGAGAAGATCTCATACACATTGCTCTAACATAGTTTAAAGTTTATATTAAGCCAAATAAAAAACACACATTATATTTATTAATAATATTATTATTATTATTACGTTCTCATACAATTCATCCCCACACAGCTACCTCCTCATGTATCACTGGCCCCTTCCTTTCAGATTGTAAGCTCTCAGGGGCAGGGCCCTCCTTACCATCTTGTCTTGAATTGTATTGTGATTGTAATGTCTTCCTTATATTGTAAAGCGCTGCGCAAACTGTTAGCGCTATATAAATCCTGTATAATAATATTATTATTATTATTATTATTCAGGATTTATAGTACCAGCAGTTTGCTCAGCACTTTACACTATAGTAAAGTTACACAGTTACATAGTATTTGAAGCTGAATAAACACACAGGCCCATCAAGTTCAAAATGTGTGTGTGTGTGTGTGTACATGAGTCCAGTCAGTTACAATACAATTGAAAACAAGAGGGTTAAGCTGGCCATACATGGAGTAAATTTCATCTAGTTCCTAATAAACCGGCCAAAATTCGAACTATGGGTGGCCCTGTCTGCACCCTTCCGCTAGGCGAAAATCTAATTTTTTAATCGACTTTTGTTGAAGAAGACTGTAACCAATCAGATGCAAGCGCTGTCTGGGTGTTCATCTGAACACAATAGCTGGCAGCAGGGGATTCGTCCATCCATGCTGTTTAGGAGGAATCTGTCAGAAAGAAAATGTATTCGTGTATGGGCAGCCTTAGGAGGACCCTGCCCATGAGAGCTTACAATGTAAAAGGAAAGGGCCAGTGATACAAATGGTAGTAACTGTATGTGATGAGTTCATGGAAAAAGAAAAATGTATAGTTGTTAGGTAGAGGTGAGATGAATTTTTAGGGATAGCCAAAGGTGAACAGAGTAGGATATAGCTGGGGAGATTGAGGTAGGGAGTTCCAGAGGATGGGAGAGACTCTAAAGAAGTTCTGGAGGTGAGCACAGGAGGAGATGATGAGAGAGCTAGAGAAAAGGCAATCTTGGGTGGTGAAGAAGAGGTTGGTGATGTAGCTAGGGGCATATGCAACACAACTCTGCAATGCATACACATTTGCCCACTTTGTATCTCTTTAAAGACCTTGCAATTATAGGAAAAATACCCATTGATCTACAAGAAATGCACTCAGCACATCATTTCCTACTATGGGCTGACACCACACAGCATTTTTGTGGACTGAGCGTTGTCAGCCCTCCCAATGTCTTTTGCTAAACTATTCAACTGCTCCCACTGTTGTGATATCCACAGCATAGGGACTTAATGACTTGTAGTCCAAGAACAGAGAGGGCTAAATGGTCTCTTTGAGATAATACAGGCAGAGAGCACAGGACACTGGACAGCTCTGATTTTTTTTTACACAATCACCAGGTATTATTGTTACATATATAAAACAGATATAACAAAATCCTTGCATATTTATCAGACCAAACGGGAGCAAATAAAAGACGTTCATTGTTATGGTTTACATAAACTTTAAGTCGAGACCATAAATTATAATGTAGATGTTTTAATAGAACATGCCATGGTGATGTGTGACTGGGGAGCATTTTGGGCTTTTGCCTGTGGTGCAAGTAGATTTTACTCTGTATGGGAGGTGCCGCTAGCTTGACAAATCCTGATCACAGATCAATGTTAGGGACTTGGGGACCCAGATTAATAACAACACATGACACAACGGATGTTGACCTGTGCAGCATTTGGGAATAATCACGTTATGTATTGTTACTGTGGAAAGAGTAAATAGCTTTGTGTATAAAACATACATTTGTTTGCACACATCAGACAAGCATTGTGTAAGGTACATGTTCATTATAAATACCTGTAATAAATAAATAAATACATGTGTATAATAATAACATACACACAATATAATATTTATAAATACTGTAACAATTCGGAAGCACATGCACCTTTTAATAAATGATGACTTTTTGTGAGCAGCATTGAAAGAGTGAGCTGACAAAAAGAGTGCAGAGCTTTTAGGAATACCCTGAACTTTGCAGTAAAGATGTGTTAATGAAGGTTCCAAATGAATGAGACCTAATGGATCTTTAGCATTATCAGCAATCAAATGGTCAGCCGTGGCCTTTTGATGGCCCTAGGTGTGCAGGGGTTAATGACATCTGAGGACATGTTTGCCCTGCACTTTGCTGGATTGTGGCACAGCATGGGGAGGGGGCAGAGCACACAGCCCTGTGACTGGCCAAGCCAGGCAGTGCAGGAGTTAAAGGCCCTTCTATTTCCGGGTTTGCTCATTGCTCAGGGCTTGGAGAGGGAGGGAGAGAGAGAAGAGAGAGAGAGGAGCATCCCCCCATGTACTCTCCTTGCTACACACACAGCAAGAACTGAGCATCTTCCTACAGGAAGCCAGGAGAGGGTTTGCACCATGACTGTGTGACACACAGAGGAGACCCTCATAGGAGCTGCACTGCTGGCTGATCAATCACACATTGGAGTCAGCAGAGAAGGGAGATGCACAGGCTCTAGCTCCAGGAGACAAGGCTGCTGTTTGAGGGGTATCTGCCTGCACACCCCACCCACTGCTCCTTCAGATCATCAGTCATCTGGATTTTGACAGATCTCGCAACCTTGATGGACAGGCAAAAAGGAGCAGCTCTGAGATAGGCAGAGAGGAGAAGGGGGGTCTTGTCTCTCTCCATGCTCCTGTCTCCAGCACACCAGGTCCCACCTTATCCCCCAGCCCTGTGGACCCCTCTAGCCAGGAGCCGCCGCTGCCGCTATTGCTGCTAGCACCCTCACCTTCTATTGTCTCCAGCCAAAAAGGACAATCACAGGCGGATTGCACTCGGAATGGCACAAAGGGTAGGTCTTCCATTGTGACCGGGGCGGCCAGGCAGCTGCAGCTGCCTTTCATG